ACACCTGCGGGTGGAGGAGTTTATTGGACACTGTCCTCCCTGACAGGAGGGAGCCTGGCAGCGGGAGGGCACAGGGTGCCGGCCTGGGGAGAGAGAGGAGTGCGAGGGGGAGGGAGGGAGGCACCACGGAGAAAACTTCACCGCCGTTTCGGGCCGCCCCCTTCGCGAGTGCCGCCCGGCCACAGGGGGGGGCAGAGGCTGACAGTCCTCGCGGCCCCTCCACCCCCCTCCCGGTCCTGGCCGAGGCTGTCCCCAGCCGGGCTCCTGGTGGACACTGGGGTTCAATCCAGACCGACTCGCATTTCCCCACCACCTCGTACCCAGGGGTGTGGGCATCTCCCTTTTAGTTAGTAAAATTCCAAGCCCTGGAAGCAAGCGCTCTTGCCCTGGACTAAGCACGCACCAATTGATGTGTCCCCTGTGAACCCCCCCACCATAACAATAATAATAATATTATAACAATAATAGTACAAATTAACACTATTAGTGAAAATCAGTTGAGAGCCTGCAGAAGTTCTTTTCACCCCTTCACTCCTCCCAACATCCAGGGATGGACTATAGAACCATCCATGGCTCCCAGTCACCTGAAACACCAAGTTCCCAGATGGAGATGGATCAGGTTCCCAAAGTTCAGTTAGAAGCCACCTTTTTGAAACTTTGAGTGCATTTCCTTAGAGACTCCGAGTTACATCAGCATTTCCCAGAATGGCCCTAACAGGTGCTCCTTGAGAAAGGGGCTTCTGTGGCCTCTTAGGTTTATAGCCAGGCCCCTCTGGGGCAGTTCAAGGCACATTAACAAATAAACGCATCCCCCTCCCACCCCAAATTCCCCAATAAATAAACCTTTATCTTTTTGTTTGTCCTAGTATTTCCTGGAATTTATTTGACTTGGAGGCCTGTTATCCTGTAAAATCTGCCTTTTATTTATTTTTCCTGTAAAATCTCCCTACAAAATATATGAAACTGAGCTTGGCGAAGTTCCCAGGCCATCCTGCAAACCTGCTTCATTTGGAGGACTTGTCCCCAAATAGCATTAGATATGTAAGGGATAGATGTACAGACCCACTGACATAGACACTGTCTTCTTAATTGTCCCTGGTACCTCCCTCGCTCTCCCCTGTAGGCTGTTTCTCCATTTTTACCTTGCCCCAGACACTTTCCCCATGTGGCTACTTTTCTCTTTCTCTTGTGTCCTTCCTGCGTTTGCTCATATTTGCTTTTGCAGCAAGGCACCATCAAAAACAGGGGAGGGTGTGTGTGTACAAGCGTGTGAGCTCAGATGGAACCGGTCAGAGCCGGTCCCAAAGCAACATAACCAACATCTGTAAAAATCCATATTCCAAAATAGATAGGAGAGGTTTAGGATTATCCATAGTTGAAGATTAGCATGAATAATCCTCCCACCTTCTCTTCTCATCCCCTCCAGGCCCGGCCCCTTCCTACCAACCTGTATGTCTGACTAGTCAAGCTGTTAGCAGAGCAGGGCCTTTTTCACATGTGTGAATGGTGTGTCTGTTACACAGCTCTCCCCAGACTAAGGAGGGTGGCTGAACCAAAGCCTCTCTCCCTAGGGGGACAAGATAGCCTGACTGTGGGTGACAGGGTCCACCGCTCCCTCCTCTGCAAGCCCACCAGCAGCACTAGCTCTGGCTCTACCTGGCCACCTGCACTTGGTGGCTGTTTTTGCTAGAGAGGAGACAGGAGAAGGATAGAGGGGCTGGAGGTGCTGTGGTGTGACGGGAGGGACAGCCACTGAGAGGGGAGAAGGGGCAGAGAGGTCCTGGAGGAGGGAAGCCCAGCCTTTGTGGAAGAATCTAGAATCTTCAGAAGCCTGGGGGTTGGGAAGGACCCCAGGCTGGAGGGAACTTTTCTTCCTCAACTAATTTTGTTAACTGGCTAGCAGTCTGGGAAGGGAACTTGTCCCCCGCTGGCAGGGCTCTGGGCGCCATCTCCCATGGTTTCTGTCTTCCTTCTCCAGAGCCCCTTCCTCCCTCCTCCCACTCTCAAGAAAGCTCCTGCCTCCCAGACCCTGGGAAGCCTTGCAGATAGGAGGCCCTCCT